ATCTTGGAGTGAATGATGACACCAAGATCCTTTTTCGCCTCTGTGCTGACAAGAAGGGAGTTCCCCAACCTGTAGGTATGGTGCCGGTTGTTCCTCCCCAGGTGCATCACTTTGCACTTGTCTGTGTTGAATCCCATCCTATTCTCATCCACCCATCCTTGTAACCTGTCTAGGTCTGATTGTAGCCTGTTGCTTCCTTCTAGTGTGCCCACATCCCCCCACATCTTATGGCAATAGCTGTCTTTCCACAAACGTCCCCAGCTGGAATTATAGGAGTCAGCAGCATATTAGGGATTACTCTGAAGTAAAACATTCCATTTTCATGCAAAAACCCCATACATTAGTCAATATTTCCTTTTGGAAAAAATCAATTAAAAACAGAAAACAGCAATTGCCACCATCAGAGCCAAAAGCCAGAAAACATTAAGGAAAATTCACTCATGCCCATTTTGCCTTCAACTCCATAAAGAACAAGAAGCTAAACAAGCTGCCTTTGGTACGTTTCAGTTGTTTTTCTCCAATGTCACACAGAGCTTTCCAAAATCCCAACACTACAGCAGTTTACAATCACTTTAGCACCCATTTCATATCTTACTGAGCATGCAAAATACTATCTAGTACCACAAAGTCCATGCTGAGCTTTAAAATCATAACAGGATTTCCTACTAGGAGGCTGTTGTCTCAGTTATTAGCAAAACTGAAGCAGCAGGCACATCCTCTGACAAGGACATGCTCATAAGGAAAAAGAACCTTTAAACAAGATAAAATCACTTTCTTCCCTATGAAATATCATCTTTCATTTAACTTCCTACCATGCTATCTGGCAGGTTTCAAATCTGCTTAATTCCATTCCTGAGTCTAAGTGGCCTGCACCCAATTCGACAACTCAACTCACTCTTTCTGGGGCTGGCCCAATTTTTACATTCAATTCTCAACACTGTAACAACAGACAAAACGGATATAGTCTCTGCCCCTCTAACAAACAAATCATGTTATATACACATTGTTCTAGATAAGGCCTATCCTATCATGAAATAATGTTGGAAGCTGTTTCTGTAATTTAGCATAGAATCAAGGCAAGAAAAATTCAGCTTAACAGGTAGTCAGTCATATGGAAACCCAGTTTTGAAAATAATTTTAAGATGTTTACTCCATATTTATCCACAATATCCAAATGACTGCAGTCAAAAGCAGCAGTAATTAGTTGTATCTAATTAATGGGGGCCTACCTTTTTTCTAGATCATTGCTCAAGAAAAAATACTAGTACAATAGTATTGTATAAATGCTGTAAGCTGATTTACAAGTAGGGTTGCGGGAAAAAGATGCACTGAGCTTTAGGACAAACCTACATGAGCTAGCAATGGCACAGAAGCTTCCAACAACTCTGCCAGTTGCTTCGGTTATAAACTATTAATCTCTTAGATCAGGTTGGCAATGTTTTGCTACCTTGGGTTGGAGCTTGTGACTTAGACCCCTGCTGCAGGCCACATCCCCCTTCCTCCCCCCACCACTCCCTTCTCTCCTCCTGAGAACTCAAACGGCGCATACTTTATGCTCATTGCAGATACCCAGTCTGTCTGCAGCAACACTAAGTGCAGGCACCAGGCTGAACAGAGGGCTGTGAAGGAGGATGCTATGGAGGTAGTGCACAGCTCAGTACAGCTGCATGATCCTCCTGGCTGCCCTGGGCTGGGGTGGACTTTCTAGGTAGGATCCAGCCTCTGTATGAGCCAGATCTGGCTAGGGCGCTGTAGGCTGCTGACCTCTGTCTTGAGTTTTCCCCATCAACTCTCTTTGCACAAAGGCAAAGCAACTTTCAAAAGGTTAACATATTCTCATTTGAAGGGTACTGCATCTCAATGAAAACTGGCTTCAGAGCTGGTAGCAGGAGCATCTCCTCCATTTCACACTCCTTAGTTCATCAACATGTTGTATAAATACTATCCTTAGCCTATGGATAACCTGTTAACACCAATTAAGTAGTAGGCCTAATGTTTCAGTTCATCCTTCTACATTAGTACATGTTACCCACAAAAATCAGCACTGTTAGCAAATAAAGATGTTGTCTCTATGGGAAAATACAGAACTCATCATAATGCTGTTGGGCTATTTCTTAATAGCATATACAAAAAGTTACTAGTTAAGTTTCAATAGAAATAAAACATCCTTGAAAAAGCAAGATGCACGGATGTTTGAGAGAAGAGGCAGATAAACACAAGGTTTTAGTGGTACTGTAAACTTACTGCTACCAGAGTGAAACCAAAGCAGCCAAAAAGGGGGGCTAGTGGTGATGGTAAAGATGGCAATTAAACCAAAGTGTGCCACTAACCCCCCACCATAAACAAAAGTTTACATACCAAAAGAATGAAGAACATAAAGAACACAAATGTAGTGAAATAAATTGGTCCCAAAACTCGGTTAGCTTCTTCAACCTCTGTGAAGTTAAAATCTCCCAAAATGATGCGGAACTGAGTCAAGCTTAAAAACAAAATACATCCAGCAGTTCAGAAACTGTTTTTGGAGTCTTGCAGCAATTTTTAATATATCATTTTGTTCTGACCTAAGCATTTTGACTATTTGGGGGTAGTAAGGGTACACTATTTTGTCCCAAATCTAAACAGTTGCTGTGGTAGTTACACCTTCATGCCCATCACTAAACATAACCAGTCACAATAGAGTGAAAACTGCTTCATTTAAATTCTTCCCCTCATATCTTTCCAGACACAAGACATCACAAAGATACCATTATAATGTTAAACCTGGATTTTTTTTTAAAACTGGCAAAAGGAATAAAAGTAGAGTGGAGAAGTTATATGGAGATGTTTAGGGTGTTATGCAATCATTCAATAACTAAACGTATGTCGCTACTGTGGAGTAAAGTAACATAACCAACTATATTAACAGTTAATGAAGTTGTGAAAATCATTGAGTTTAACCATTTCAAAGCTGATCTTTTATTTTTTCTTAATATCAAAAGAAAAGGCTTAAGTTATAATATGCTTTTCTTATGTTTAATAATATATGTTCTGTCATTAAACAATTGCAAAGTTTTAACTGTATTGTATGCAACTGAAATATTTAACTGAAGATACTGGGTTGAAATAAAGTATACTGGATAAAATGGTGAAGAGGTAAAACTAGTTTTCAGAAATTACATATACAAAAAATTCTAGAGCTTTTAGTACAGTAAAATTGTGTATTTTTGATTTTGTAGTTCAGGTAGTTTGCTGATGTACTGAGGAATTTTTTGCATGTTTTATTATACTTACACACAGTCCTGAAAAGTGCTGAAGTCATCAACTTGAGTGCCAAACACAAGATAAGCCAATTGTGCATATGCTAAGAAAATTATGAAAAACATAATAGCAAAGCCAATGACATCTTTAGCACAACGAGACATGGTGCTGGATAGCTGACTCATTGTTCTGTTGATGCTGACAAATTTAAAGAGCTGTTAAAGGAAAAAAAAAGATGTAAAAATAAGGAAAACTACAACTTGCCACATCTAAACATCTTTCCAACCTCTCTCACTCTCACTGCATTTAGCTTTGGGAAAACTAATATTAAGAGACTGTTTGTCAACTTATTTTTTTGGAATAATGTCTCTCTCCCATTCATACAGATAATTAAAATGGAAGGAAAACGCAGTGACAAAACCAAATTTCTCCTCAGGCTCCCCCCAGATGCATAAACTGGATCTACCACTGTATCATTCAAGTGTTGGGTTACCAATATCAGAAGTATTATTTCAAAGGACAAGAGGGGTGGAATGTTCTGAAGAAGTTAGAAGCTCTGAAGAAACATTCAGACGGATTTTTTTTTTTTTTTTTTAAGTAGAAAAAGTAAAATAAAAGCTAGAAACAGATTTTTTAATTTTTATCCTTAAAGAAGAACTAACAAATCTTGATAATTATTTTTTCTTGTTACAAATTTCACATAATTGTTATAGAAAGCTTGCATGAGTGGGCAGATGAAACAGCTAAACCAGGCTATAAGAGCAGGCACCATATTTACTCAAATACAAAATAAGATTTTTTTCCCCCACCAATCAACTTGAGGAGAAAAGCTCTTCATCTTACATTCGCAAACAAGGAAACCTCATTAAACACACTGTCCATCATTAAACTGCAGCCAGAAGCAGCACATGCTCAGCAATGAAAACTATGAGGCTGATCAAATGCAGTCAACACTGAGCATGACTATAAAGCACATAGCCCATATTGGGCAAATAAGGATAGATTAGTGCAGCCCATCTGAATGAAACATGTAGTACAGCCCACTAAATGCAGTTCCCCTCAGCACCAACACTTTTTTCAAGCTATGGTGAGCCAGTACATTGCATCCATTTCAACTTCCTTTTTACTCCCCACAGTTGAACTGTGCCTCTTCCTTCCATTTCCAATGATTCCTATGATTTCTTCACCGCAAACAGTTCATCCAGATCCCTCTGTCACTCAATGTCTCCTCCACCTGTTGCATATAATTACTGTGACCCAACCCTCCATGAGGGAAAGCCAAACCAGGTTGGCCTACACTTCATCTGCATACACATTTTTGGAGCATTCCAGGACGCATGATGAAAACACCCAGTGCCAGTCATGAGTAGGGGCTAATTAGCACATGGCTCCTTTGTGGGGGGTATCTAGAGTACACACATATACTGAGCAATGCTGAGCTATGGGGTCACCATGGCTTGAAATCCTGTTGACTCTTGTGGGGCCCAGCCCAATGAATTCTATGGTGAACCATGAGCCTTTTGGCTTTGGATGAATATCATACACAGTCTGTGCTATATATAAGTAGGTGAGAAACTGCTGCTTAGAAACTTTTTTATGGAGCATCTGTGCTACAATTTGTAAGTTTCAAAAATGATAACATGCATCAAATCTGGATGAACTGATGTCTATAAATACCCTATGTAAATTACCAGAGCCATGTTTAATTTCAAGGTCATTGTTTTTAAATTTCCTTCTTACTTCCATGTGCTCAGAGACAGCAGGGTTTGGCAGTAAGGAGAGGGGGAAAGAGGCTGCAGGGGGAAAAAGTTGGGGGGAACGCAAAGGAGCTACTCGACCTCTGATATCTACCCATTTATCTACCTACCCATCCATTCATCCAGACATAGATAGATAGATAGATAGATAGATAGATAGATAGATATCTTGGTTGTCTTATATTCAAGTAAATACGGTGGTTATTGGAATAAGGAATAAGACCAGGTTACTGTAAAAAACAAATAAATAAACAATACTGGTGTTCCTCAATGATTTTTTCCCTAGATTTAAGAAGTACTATACTAAAATTGGGAGGAAGGATTATAAACATAGCCATGGACATAAAATCATCCTATTTTCCATGACTGGTTTCAGAAAAATTTGAGCACACCTGGAATGCAACTGCTTGTTTCCAAGACAGAAATAAATCACAGGGATTTCCTTCAGTTACATCAATATGCGTGCTAAAAACCTTAATTTCTATTTGAAGCACAACAGAAGAATATTCCTTAATTACCTTAATCCAGACAAAAAACATAGTAACAGCTGCAATGTTGCTGAATTGTATTTGCCAATAGGCCAAAGGCTCAAAATTGGGAAAACTGTTCTGATCTTCTAGCAGTTTCTTCAGTTGCATATCCACAGTTGAGGTTCTATAGATGTTAATTGCTATAGCTACCACTGATAGCTGAGTAGGAAAGAAATATATAAGACAATAAGAAACATTTGACTTAAAGATACAACCTATTTCAGTACTGAATCCCAAAAGCAAACATTTTGAAGTCAGGTGTCAACAGCCATTTCTGCCTTTGTCAGGGGTTGGGTGGGAGTAAGAAAGAGCAAAAGTAATGCTACATATGCTGTATGTAAGGCTCTCTAGCTGCTGGATGTGGACACTTTATCTTTGCTCCTGGCAGAAGCTTCCACTGTAAAAGCTGCTACTTAGTTCCTTATTGCTCTTTACAAGTTTTTCCAAGAACAGATCTGTTTCTTCATTCTGCCTTCCAAAAACAGGGTTGTATTTTATTTAGGGGCCACGTTGCATGCAAGAAAATATGGCATGAACCAATCTGCCTAAGGCTGCAAAGAGCTATGAATGGCTTTGTTTCCAATGCTTCAGTGTCAGCTTTCATTATTTAGTCATTTATCGTGTTAATGTATAGGTTTGAAAAACAAATCTGAGATCAAAGCAAACAGTCCCAGAATTTATACCTGCTACAGAAAAGCAGGGGTGGAAAAAAGAAATGGACAGACAAGACTGACAGGCAAGGGGAGAGAGCGGAAAGACTGGGAACAGCAGGAAGAGAAATGTAGGCCTAAGAAACAGAGCAAAGGCCTAACCAAGAGCAGCAGATATTCTTGCTGAGTGATTAAGAGGTCACTACTATCCAGAAAAAATAATAAACTTCAGATTCTTCCTTTGATCTGTCATGGAATTTACACCCATCTACTTGTATTGATGAGTACTTTACATTTTGCTGGGGTGAGAAATGAGGCAACATACATAGCTCTGAACTTATAATTTAGCTCAGGATCCAGTTCAATTTACATCTAATTTAACTAGATTATAAATACTGGGTATGAACACACATAACAGCTGAAGCCATTTCAGAAGGAGAGCTATTGCTCAGGAGCATGCAGCAGCTGTGTGGAACAATATTAGGAACAATACTACAAATTTAACAAAACCACTCCAACTGTAGAACCTATTTTGCTACATTTTTATTTTGCTTGTCCACATGTAACTGTTAGAACACAGAGCTGCCACACCGTTTGGATCAGGAGTCCCCTTTTGAATCTGTTCCAAATCTAGGTATGTCTGTGTCCTTTGACTGTAGCAACTAAAGCATCTCATCTCCACCCTATCCTTGACATAAGAGCATGTTGTTCAGGTGATTGTGGAAAACTGGCACAGTTTGTCCCTTATAAATTCCCTATGAAGCAGATACTAATTCCTGTATACCTGATTAGAATATTAACCTTTCTGTCCAAGGCCAGAGGGAACCTGGACTGAAGTGTAGATTCGAAATGAAGAAGCTCCTAGTTTCCAGTTCAGTGCTTATTTTGATACATACGCTATGCTACTTTGTACTACTTCATCATTACCTTGTCAGCAACAGCATCCGAATATTATAAAAGCCTTAATTTGTCTGTCTGTCCATAATGCTTTATTTGCACTCTGACTGGCTGACAAACAGCCAATCAGTGTGTGAAGAAGCATTCGGACAGGAGGTAGCCGAGTGCTACCATGATGGCGGGGACACGGGACGGAGCAGGGCGGGGACTGAAGCCAGCACAACTGGCCTTATGCATCCCCCTGCCCCATCCTGCTCCCTGGAGGTGGTGGCAATGGAGCAGATG